ATTTACTTTCCAACATTATCCAAGTAATTTTCACATATCTTAAATTCTGAATTTATGGCCAACGCTGTTGTCTGCGTAGACAGACAAACACATTCGTTTCCTAATTTATCTGATTTTCACTTTTAACTCAGCCCAAAACACACGCACACACAGCGTAGAACGCACAAATGCTTGGCGGCATGCAACGCTGTGCGGTTTATAACCCCTGCCACACTTCCAACAACCGGCAACTTGTTATTGTTGTTGTTAACACTTGTGTCATGTTGCAAGTGTGGCAGCAAACGCAAGCAGCACATTCAAATTAAATGGCAAAAACAACAATGAAGTGCATAAAAATTAAAATGCGCGCAACTTAAAAGCCTCTGGGTCGCCACACCACACACCCCACCCGACCGGTCACATAGCCATAGCCAGCCGGCAGTTAGGCGCTTCAGCGCTTCGCCTGTTGTCGGTATAAATAAATTTGTACTGGCAATAATTTGCCACAAATACCGACACCAGCAAAGAATCACTAAAACGAAACAGAAAACAAACCATCGTGTACCAATCAACGACTGGAACAACAACAACAGCAACACGGCGGCGTAGTTGCCGTCACACAGTAGCGCTTTACTGTCATTAGCACCAGCCGTTGCTGAAGACATATGCGCTTCACTTAGGCGGCTACTGCAATGCCGATTGTTGTTGTTTTTGTAMAAAAAAAAGTGTTGTTGTTGTAACACTTTTTGTTGTTGTATTTGCTATATTGTTCTTATATTGGTTTTGTTGTTGTTGTTTTTCCAATTGTTGCTGTATTATTTTTTTCTTGTTGTTGTTGCTTTATTTTTCTTAGTTGTTGCCCAACAACCGCTTAACCTCACTCAATCCAGTCAAGCTGTATGTGTCCACACTCTGCAACTCATTTGCTGCCGCTCCGACGCTACCCGCTCTCGATCCAGCACTCATGCCACTAAGTGGCAAATTGTCATTACGTTTGCATTGCCACTGTTTTGGTAATCAGCCACAGAGCCTCATCATCAACACAGAGCGCCTCAAAAACACACAACGGCACTTGGACTCTGCTGCTTTCGTGCGTTTTGATTGTACCCAGTCTCCTCAGACGGGCTAACACCTTGGCTTAATGTTGGTTTTTTTGTTGCTATTTTTTTGGTTGACTAAAGTGTGGCTTTTGGTGGATATGAAGAGTAAGCGGTAGCTGGGTATTAGTCTCGACACATGCAATGCACATTAGGGTCAAGCTGCGTTTTTTATTTAATGAAGGATTTTTTGAGGGTTTCGAAAAAAGGAGTGTCTCTTGCGAAAAGATCAAAGAATCTGAAAAGTAGTGAACTGAGATATTCTAAACTGAGAAATTAGGCACATGTTGTTTATTGGAACTTAGTAGCGAGGGGAGCAGCACATATAATCCACTAAGAATACCACTTTCTTTTTAGCAAATGCGTCTAAAAACGCAAAGAGCCGACTTGACACATGAGTCTGGCACTACTAAGCCTAGCTAGATTTATAATTTCCTTCACTAAATACATTTGAGGCGATAAAACGTACTCTTGCCGCATATTTTCTCAATAAAACTGAAATTGCTTGGAGCTCTGAGCGATAAAGTAATCTCATACATTTTTTAAAACAGGGTTTTTCGAAGCATTTTCGAAGCTTCTTCGAAGTTTTTAGAAGTTTAAAATGCTTACAGCTTTGTAACTCTTCAAAATCGAGTACACCAACAAAAATTTTATGTAAAAATAGCACTTTTTAAAGTTTATGGAAATATCGAAACTATGAGCACGAGATAAGAAATCAGATATAGACAGAGTAGTAAAAAAGAATATATGTTTAAATGAGTAACACAACTAACTTTCTAATATATTGCGCCGAATTAGAGGCATAAAAAACAGCTGAGGTAGTCATGGTTTATTCAGCACATTGAATTGAACTTGTGGAACGGTATACAGAAATTAAGCGTTTTAAAGAAAACAAGAAAAAAATTATTATGAGATGGACAAAAGAGCACCAAAGTTAGGTATTATGAAAATGCGCATATCGCGCTCAATTTACAACAGAAATCAGTATTCACCAGTCAACGGTTGTTTCATGGTATTGAATGGAACTTGTGGAACGGCATAATGAAAATTAGATATTTGAAGCAATGTGCTATGAGAGAGTCATTTTAAACGAGAAAAGTGATAAAATAATATCAAAATTATTGGAAAAGTTAGATGCGTTACAAATAGGTAGATATATGCTGAGAAAAGCTACACTGAACTTGTGAAACGGTATGCAAAAATAAGTTTTTAAAACAAACAATGAAAAAAAAATTAATAACAGTTAGATGAAATAGCACCAAAATTAGGTATAATAAAAAATAATTTATCGAGCACAATTTTTAACATAAATCAGTACTTACCAGTTAACGGTTTTTTGATGGCATTGAGTAGAACTTGTGGAACGGCAAGCTGAAATTAAGAAATTTTAAGAAATATGATATGAGAGAGTCACTTAAAACGAGAAAAGTGATGAAATAATATAAACGTTTTATTGAAAAAGTTTAGAGGCGGATATCTGAGGAAAATAAGCTAAATTTGCACAAATTATTATTCGCGAAAGTTTCTATATCTTTCCAAAATCCCTTTTCTGATTCCGAGCCGAGTTGTTGCAAGAAAAACATTTTAAAAGCAACTCTACCAAAAGTTAAAAAAAAAAATATGTGCGTTTATATTGCAACCCTACTTGCAACACCTAAGCGCAATAACGGCAGCAATCACTTAAGCACATCGCATGCCACAAGTCGTTTGCTGCCACATGGCGACTCTCACTGCCGCCGCTGCAGTTCGCTTTATGTTATTTCGCACTTTGCACAACAACACGACAAAAAAAACTGTAAGTACAAGAACCAAACGTGTGTTTTTGGTGGCGATTGCGACTGCGCCGGCGGTGGCAATAAATGCCTGTCACACTGGACAATCGCTTAATGGCTCGCCTTGCTACATGAAAATATACTCAAGTGTTATCGATTAATGTCCACAAGCAGCAGCTACCGAAACCCTGATGATGGTGCGAAGGCAACCAGCCGCCAACAACAACACCATCAGCAAGCGGTACGAATTGTCGTTCAAATATTGCCGCGTTTGAAGTTGTGCCGCCGCTCGGAGGATTTGTGGCGACGCTAGCGCGACTGTGTGCGGCCGCCGTTACAAATGTCGGTTGAGTTTTTGTGTGTGAGTGCGTTCGAGGTGCTGCCACCTTTGGCCCGACACTCAAGCCGGCTGCCACGCTGCGTTATCGCTAAACTATCTGCCTGACTTACTGCCTCCAGTGGCGTTTGTTGTTGTTGCTGCTTTGCTTGTGCGCGCCGCGTTTCGCTTGTATGCGGGCGCTAATGTCGCCGGCACAGCAAACACCTTTATCAGCGCTTACTCACGCTCACTCAGCGGCCACAATGGGCTCGGTGGCATCAACTGATTGCCACTGAATGCTGCGCGTGTTTGCCGCCGCCGCTGCCACTTTGGCTATCAGCATTCGCCACAACTTAGTAAGTGAGTATGTGGTGATAGCGCGCGGCTGATTTTTACTCTATATATACGGGTGTCGTGCTTGGCGCTGCCTTCCTTGGTGGTCAGTGCGCCGGCTGGGGCTGTCTTGCATGCAATAATCTTTTGGTTTGATGATATTTATGTAAATTTAGAGTGGAGTGTGAGTGTTGCGAATTTAATGCCTCACTTATAAAATAAAGAGCATTTCCTGTCTCGGTTTTTAATAGCTTTTACCTTAGCTAAATGTAAGTGTGTGTGTGATATATTTCTGAATTCATAAAAGTGATTATATTTGGACCTGCGGGATGGCTTTAGGTTATACTTCGTACTTCTCTGCATTACATATCTCGAGCAGGAGAAAAGGATATGCTCGGCGTCGTGGTCGAATATGTGGAGATACTCCCTGAAAAAGCCATGGCCGGATAAGAATTGGGGCTGATAAAAGTCTGTCTCTCCGTGTTGTATTTCAATCCAAGATGGTATGTTCTTAATGAGACTAAAGATACCTGTTTTTTTTAAATTACTTTTTTTAATTTAAATTCGTTTTTATTTTTAATTTTAATATTTTTTTAATT